TTGAATTCTTAATTTGTCATCTCAGAAAAAAGAAATTTTATGACAAAGAAGAAACATTTGCCGTTACATTATACGTTATATTACCGTTTCGCTCTATTATGGCCCTGTAATCAAATAAAATATCATTTTTCACATTTTTTAAATATAAGTCTTTTCCAAAATAACTGATTCTACAATGAACGCTTTCCTTCTTGTCTATCGCAAACGAATTCGGCGGTAAACTTTTCTTTCCTACATTAATTAATTCACTGCATGGCGAAAAAATTAAATGTATTATTACGGTGTCTATTCCCAAAATACATCGAATGCAGTAAAATGGATTTAAATTGATACTTCAGATGCAGAAATCTCTTAGCATCTGGAAATAACGTGACGACAGATTTTTTGCTCGTCCCGGTAGACGAAATGGCGCAGGTTTACGCTCGTTTTAGAGTCCTTTTTATCTTCGGTTTACGAAGCGAGCATGTCGAATAGCCAATCAGAATCCTGTGGGAAAGAAGCGAGATAACCGCCGCAATTGACGGATTTTCCTCACTAGCCGAGATTATTTCACATTCATAAATGTCTTCGTTTTTTATCGCACACCAATTTATATGTAAAAAATGGCACAAATAATATTGTTAATTTTTTTAGATATGGCTTTAATTTAATATCAATTTTCTATTTCAACGCTATTTCTACGTAAAAATTTTTGTAAATAAGAATTAAATAATGCATTTCTTTTAATTTAAAACATTTAGAATTTATGCATTTCTGAGGAACTTTTCTGATACCAATATTTAATTCGTGAAAGTTTCAATTAAAATCAGGTATTGACTATATTTCAATAATAAAATCCTTCATAATTAAATAACTCTAATACATAGGGGAACCTGGGGCATAACGGAACGGCGGGGCATAATGGGATATGATCTATAACTTTTTACAGAAGTGCTGTTATGTATTGAAATATTTTGCAATTATTACTATTAGATGATCCTTATCGCATGCTGTTATCAGTTGTCATGTTATTTTTAACTGAAAAATGCTATAAATTTTTTAATGCGTTCGCTGCACTCTCCGTGACTCGCTTATAATTTCGTTGATAGATCAGCATGAGGTAACAATGATAAAATTCTATTTTTTATTACCATAAGTAATTTTACGCAATTAAACAATCTTTTCTAGTCTCTTTAGTAAAGTATTTCTGCACAGATATTGATTATCAGTGATATTTTGTATTTATTTAGTGTAAAGGTACATTTGGGGGCATAACGGGACATTAGGCCGTGGGGCATAATGGTACAATAGATAACCTCTTCTTATTAGTTGACTCGCAAGTGTTAAGTTGACGGAGCATGTCTCAACAAAAAATTGAAATTTAACAGCAACATTGAAAGGAACAATGAGCAACAATGAGGATATTACACATATTTGTACCTACTGTTCTTAAAATGTTTCATGTAGATGTGATAACAAGTGCTATCAATAAATTATTATTATTATTAAAATGCAATACTACATTAGTATATTTATTGCGTATTTAAAAAATCATTTTTAATAAGTTTTAAACATTAATGTATAAGAAATACATAAGTTTTGTGAGGAGTCCCATTATGCCCCGCATAAAATGATAATCAGATTAAGCTATGGTCTCAATAAAATAAAAATTTCGTCCTTTTAAACTATTCTTTCACAGTAAAACCATTTTTTTTCTTATAGTAGACATTTCAAAGAATATTTTCGTACAAAAATAATTCATTTATGTATTTTCATTTTGTTTAAAATTAATTTTAACCTTAGCGTTCCCGTTATGCCCCGGGTTCCCCTATATGCTTCAATATTATTTCGCAAGTGCCTCATTCCCATCCTTTTATGCCCTTATCCCATAGATAAATAGCAGGAAAAGTAAAGTTCTAAATACATAAATAAAATAGCAATAATTTCATCGTTGCCGGTAGCGAATACTCCGACGAAGATTACTTTCCTCAGCATCCGCGTCTCCGGAGCGACGTGGTATGCTGATACCGACGCGGCGCGGATAAAAATGCGGCTGACAATCAGCGTTTATATGAAAAACACTCCTCCGACGCCCCTCCGACATCCACCCTCAGAAACTGCCCCCACCGACCGACGTCGTCGCTTTGCCGCGATATTACCCATGTCTTGCCTCAGCGAGCCAACAAGTCGCTCCCTTCTCTCCTTGGCTTTCTCTCATCGTCGACTCGAGAGCGGAAAATAACTGGAACTTTGGGCGGATAATGCGACACCCGCCCGCATCCCCCGCCGCCCTCTCGCGCTGTGCTTCGTCCCGCGACTTTTCTGCGGATTTTCGTCGGAAATCTTCTTTATTCGTCTGCGAGCGTCAGCTTTCTCAAAATGAGCGAGATAACAGAAGTAGTAGCCCGTGTTAAAAACGCTATCCGATGTAGCAGCCATTTTATATCGTATCTTGTTAGCAAAGTGTTATTTGAATGTGTCCAATTTGATATTTTTTGCCGGAAATCAAAGCTTTCTGTATTTAACAGTTTATCGCCTCTTCAATATTAGATGTAATACTAAATACAGATAACTGTATGATATTACAATACCGGCCAAAATTGTATCACCTTTCAATTTTTTTTCAGCATAACTACTCTGGGAAAAAAAGACAGTTAGCAACTCGTTTTGGGGCCCACAATTAGTAGTCGAATTATTTGGATTGTTCATCTCTGGGAAAAATTTTGACCGCTTTTTTTGTTAACATTTCGATTGGTGCCTCATAAGTGAAAAAGTATCTTTGCGTTACTGAATATCGACAGAACTAATTGAGAGAATTGATTAGTATTACTTTAAAATCTTGGACACAGATAGAATAGCTAATTGCAACTTTTAGTTACGCGGGGTAAAATTCGTAAAAGATTAGAATTACGAACAATCCAAATAATTCGATTACTAATTGTGGGCCCCAAAATGGGTTGCTAACCGTCTTTTTTCCCCCAGAATAGTAACTAGTCTTAGGCATAAATCTCTTTGGTTTAGGGTACATTGACGTTAGAAATGTTTATTAAGGAAAATTGCGATTTTTCACGTTATTTGGACGCTATTTTGCGTGTTGAGGATCATTTCGCGTTATTTTGCGTGTTGAGGGTCATTTGCGTTATTTTGCGTTTTAAAAACGTGTTAAAACAAAGTTGGGGACTCGAAAATGTAAAGAAATGACATTACAAACGTTCCTGGAGTATTTTGCGATATTTTGCGTATAAAGATAACATCAAAATGTCACACCTCTAGTGATAGTTGTTGAAAGAAAACCAGACTTGACAAAAACGTCCGCACGAATTCTAGAACGTTATTTTATAAACGCTACTGTGCTGCGATACAACGAGGCGGCATCGCCGAGACGAAAGATCATCGGCAATGATGCACAATTTCGGCGCTGCGACGCCGCGTTGTTTCGCGCGAAGCACAATGCAACCGGCTGCAGCGACAGACCCTCGTGAAAAATTGATCTCCGGCACTGAAAAGAGCGTAACACCGTGTTTCCAGCGCGATAAGTGGACCTGAATAAAATATGATTAACGACGGAGCGTTACTCTTGTGCCAAGTTACTGCAGTCACTGTGCCGGGAGAGGCATGTATCGCGCGTGCTTTTCGTCTCTCGCTTTAACATTGTCGTCGTGCGAAACAATTTCGGACGGTAAATCATGCCAAGAATTCCACGGAATTGTTACGTCCGTGACCGCGCACTAACGGAATATATTTTAATGACAAATTCTTCGAGGAACACGGAAACGAGCCCCTCTGAGTATTTAACAAATGACTACCAAAGTTTTTTTTTTCACTTTTGTCTAATGCCCCGGGGCTCGATTCTTGAATTCATTCGAAAGAGAAACGTATACGAAAATTCTACTCTGACAGAAAAGTTGAAATTCGATTGGTTAAGAGCCACGCGAACAGCCAATCAACTTGAAACTTTTCTGTAAGAGCAGAATTTTCGCATACGTTTCTCCTTCGAACGAATTCAAGAATCGAACCCCAGACGACTGAATGTGAAATCTCGCAACGAAGTCTGCGTGGACTACAATTAATAGGCGCGATTTATTTTTAAGTTAGCGAACGAAACTGTGTTAGATTTGAAAAACGATCCGTTTTAGATTAATCCATTCCGAACGAATTTTATCGAGATATCGTCGATTTATCGTCTCCGCAAGTCGCAGAACATTGTAGAATTTCACATCCGATAAGCGATCGCGAATTAACACGATTAGGCCACGTACGAGCCGAGCCGAGAAATCCTGACTGGCAAATTGGATTCTATCGGACCCGCGATTTTCAGGCGCCATTAGCGACGCGCAGCCCTGCGGGAGACTGCCACTTGCTCAATGGCGCGGGGACCATTTGGGCTTCGTGGCCGCGAACGGGGTCCAATCGGGTACAAGGCTAGAATAGCTAAATCGTAGCCGCATCGTGAAAATTGCCGTGACGGCCACGACGCGATTGCACGGAATATAAATTAACACTGCAGTGACAGTTTTATATATCGACAAATATCGACATTTTCAACCGGAAATTCGCAACAAATTAATCGTAAACGTCGCATATCCTTACTTCAATACTAAGAACTATTTGATTCAGCGTATTTTATTTTTAACTAAAAATATCTTTAATTAAAGACGGACATTGAAGAATGTCTCTAAAGTCGACGGGCGAATCGCTCTTTGTAAATTTCTTGATTTTGGTATTCACAAAGCGCATAAGTTTATAACTTTACTTATCGCCCATCCTTCTTATTTCATGGACTCGGTCAGTCTTTGAGAGTCTCGTTTGTCCCCGGATACATTATTTATATTTTGCTTCCACTTCTAAAATGTCAACAAGCTCGGGATAGCGCGGAGGTAACGCGGGAATTCCTAAACGCGGCGATCGGCTGGAGCATCGAAAAATTCTTACGTCTCCGTTTGGACGGCGGCCAAGGACGGGTTGCTCAACTTCGCGATGCTCGCATCTACATTCCCGATGATGATCCCCGCCCTCCCTCCGTCTGATGTACAATGTCACCAACAACGATAATTGCTATGCACGATTACGCCAGTCGAAAACGATAATCGCGAGTCGATGCACGTAGGCCCGAGCGCGTATAAAAGTACGCCACCCCGAGAGCACGAGCATCAATCGATCTTCGATCTTCGAGCTCTCCGAGGCTTTCCCGATCCTCTCTCAACAGCCAGCAGACATGAAGTACTTCGCCGTGAGTAAATCAATTGCATTTCTCTTCGCGATATCGAGACTAACGTAACAGCTGTGCGATAAGAGCATCGATACAGTTGGTTGAAAAATTCTCGACTAACTCTCGGACAGTAACATTTTGCGACCATTTGTTATACCCATGGACATAGTAATACTAGACCGAGCATGTTCTCTTTCAAGCAATAAAGATTAGGTAGAAAAGGATAGAGAGTAGGTGCCGTCAACTTTTCTCTTTTTATTCTTCTCGTTAGAGAGAGAGAAAGGTGGACGGCACCTATTTCCCATTTTTTTCTACCCGAGCCTCAGGTCTGGCGTCTCATGCTCGGTCTAGTATTACTATGTCTACGGTTATACCACTGGTCCAATTCTAGCATGGCAAAAGAAATACCGAGTCAAGATTAAAAAGCCCTCGTAGCGAAGTATCTCGTGCCCTCGCCGTCGATAATAAGAACAAGACATTTTCCTATTTTACGTTGTCCTCAGATAACTATTGTAAAAAAAAAACTTCGATAGCCCCGAGTCTTTCAATTTCACGTGCCTTTGAAGAGCACGTCGATAGCTTTCCGATGCACCTTTATAGCTCCCTTTTCCACAGGCTATCGCTCTGTTCGCCCTGGTGGCCGTCGCGGCCGTCACGGAGGCGAAACCCACCGGAGTGGAGTCCGTCGAACCGGTGCGGGCCGAACCCGCCGCGCCGGAAGCGCCGAGGGATAAGCGAGGGCTGCTGCTAAGCGCGGCTTACACGGCGCCGCTCGCTTACAGTGCATACACCGCCCCGGCCCTGACGTACTCCGCATACAGCTACCCCTATGCGTACACAGCCTATTCGGGCTACCCCTATTACGCCTCCGCCTACAGCGCGCCCTATTACTTGGCCTAGATACGCGGCCGCACAAGCCCGGGGGAACACGCCGAACTACCGACCAGCCTCTCTGATTTCAACGACGACAACCGCCACGACTCGGCCGGCCGCGCGAGGGGAACACTCGAGAGCGCGACGCGATCACGTAAGACAGTTTCATCGGCAAAAGTATCCTAAGCGGAGTATCACTGATGCATGAAATGGATTCTGGCGCTTCCGTCGTGACGACGTTCGTTCGCGAGTGAAATGGATTATGTACCGTTTGTTTGGATTCGATTTTCGCGGAAGGGGTTTTGTTTTACGAGGCACCTGACTCGAGGTTTGCGCCGAGGTTCTTTGCAAATTATTCTTGACCATTCAAAAGTCATGAAAGGTACGCGAACGAAATATGGGCACGATATAAATAGCCATTCGTATGCATGATAGAGATTCTACGCGGATTCCCGGCGAATAAACAGGAAACGAACCATATTAAGAACCAGGCCTCGCTCGAGCGAGGTACCTTCACTTTCGTTGCCGTTAATACCTCTCGCAGTTGTATCTGTGGACTATTCACTCTCCAAGGAAAACACTCATACGTTCGTATGATCTATTTGAGGAACACTTATCGCACTATCACGTATACGCACATCTCTTATTATCTACGTATTTACATGAACAAAACGGACCGTCCACCACTTGGATTTGTACAAAAAGGACCATTCGTGCAACGCGATATACGACTTATATGTAAGATCGTGATAAACCGTTGTCACGAACTCTCTTTGTGCATAGAATGCATTTACAGACCGTGTAATTCAGTGAAAACCTCGATTATGTTATCACGTACAGTGTATGCTCCCCGTTTCGTCTAAATGTTTACGTAAATCTGACTTTTTCTTCACGAGAAGAGTATCCGCAGCGTGATTCTGTATATCTCTCATCGCATAAAATTAATTTAAAAGAATTTGACGAAACGCTGTTAACTCTTCCTCGCGCCTGTGTATCTTCCACAAAATATCTGTATGTTCATAAATCATGTAAGTCACTGTAGAAAATAAAAATATAATGCAATAATATCGACAATGTTTTTCGTCTTTCTATTATTTCGCTGCATTTATCTGTCAAACTGACGGCGCAGTTTTCGACAAGTGCAGGTGCGATTTTGCCTCCGTCGCAATCATTTCAGCTGATACGATTAAGATTTAACGCGAGAGAGTCGTGATACACCTCTAACTTTATTCCCATTAAGAAAAGTTAATTCCCAGCCGCTTTATACAAACAGAATTTTAATCGGGGCGTACTTATAAAAGCGGAATATTTAATGTTAAGTAGTTATTAAAGTTAGTCAAGTTGTGGAATTTCAAGGTGTGGAAGGTCGGTATGAACGTCGGGGAAATGTCTCGCTTGACCTAGATATCGCGGGGTGTTACTCTCCCAGGCAGATAGAACTGTACTCCCGCCGACGACGACGAATGCATTTTTAAACCCACGCCTTTAGCGAGAGTTTAGAGACGCTCGCGGGGAGAACGGTGGCGCAATGTGTCGCGGAAAACAGCGCGGAAAATTCCTGCGAGAGATCTTGAAAATAGAGTTTAATAAAGTTCCGCAAAGATGAAAATATCTCCATTTCCCTATCTCATCAAACCTATCTCTCATCTTCATTCGGTATAAAAAGTATCCCGTCATAAGTTTCCTTAATTTCACTCTTTTCTTCGTCGACTTTCTCTTCATATCCAACAGGTTCGCAACTCAAATTTCTTTACCAATTATTTAATTTCTTGGTATTCTTATACTTGAAACTTGATAGTTTCAGAAATGTTTTTTTTTATCATTCGAAATACGTTGAAGTATACAAATCCAAACTTGAAATAATCTTAAAAAAGTTGGTCAATGAATTTTTTCGAAAAAATTGCTGTTTTTTCATATTCGTTTATTTATAAAACTTTTACAATAAATATTAAACACTACTCAACTCTTTTGCTTCCTCATAGAGGAAGCTTTGTTTTTTATGTTCTTTTATTGCTAAGATACCCCAAAAATGCAAAAAACCCGACCTACATGCGTTAACTAGAAATTAAATGGCCAAAAAGTAAAGAAAAGGGCGAAAACCCATGGCCGAAACATTGTGCGAATAAAGGAAGTTTTCCTGTTGCCGTGGTGTCGAACTATTCGCCTTTTTATTTTAAAAAAGTAAAGAAGTTGAGGTGGTAACGTAGGTTACCACCATGCCTCAAAGGGTTAACGACAGAGGCATCTCCGTTGCTTCACAACGAATCAACGATATATGGATAGTCATAACGTTCGAAAAATGTAAACGATTTTAACGCCGGAGAAGCGATGATTGGGCGCGCGTTGCACATCGAATAAAATATATCGGTCAGAAGTGCACGGCGCGGCCTGTCGGGAGGACGAGGGAAAGGGATCGCAGCCGCAGCCTCGGTAACTCGAGTGTGGAAAAACTTTTAATTGCTTCGTTTAATTGCCGCCATTAACCGTTTCGCGTGGTAATTAAGTTGAGTCGCACGACACATCCGTCGTCGTCCCGGTGCGCTAAATCATACCGGGATTATTTCGTGCCGCGAGAAACGAAGGATTCTGAGATTTCACGCTGGTCTTATCCTCGCAAAGAAATAAGCACGAGATATTGCAGATGTTAAGTCTCCCAATTTTTCATCTATACTTTCAAACTAGTCTCTTTAAAAAAACGAACGCATCAGGCAACAATATAAAAAAAATCTACTTTCAGAAATATGTATGTTATAAATGAAGTCTGAGTACAGGACGAAAAGACAATCAAAGACAAATGAAAAATATTTAAAAGATATTCACTTAAAGATGTATCTGAGATACAATCATTGACAAAAATCCCCCAAATTCGAAAAACTGGCATATCTATGCTAAACGTGCAGTAAACCTACACGGAAAAAAATGATATGGTGCACATAACCAGAAATATTTAGTTGTAAGAAATATAGTTGCATTATCCTAGTTATGTTTATGCAATGATTATGTGTATGCTTGATATGACTTAGTTACTTAGTTGTATCAACTATATCAATGTAGTTGTACATGATCTGGTTGTGACAACCAGACTTTGGTTGGAGCATTATTTACTGTGGATATGATAATCTATCCACATATTCGCGGACACGCGAGTCGCCGTGCGCTA